GCCATAGATCTGTTGTTAAAAAAAGAGTGTGGCAAGATAAAGAGTAGTTTTTTTTTTTCAGGTTAAAATATATTTTTAGTTTTTAAATTTTATGTAAAATTTTAATTTGGTGCCTTAACTTTAAAAAATATTTTTTTAATTCTTTAAGCCTAAAACTATTAACCAAAAATGATAATATTGATATTTTAAATATTGATAAAAATATCCTTAATTACTAACATATTAAATTTAATTTTTAAAATAACCGTGATTATCACAACAAATCATCATTTAAGACTAATGAGTTTAGAACTAAAGGATTGAAAATATATATATTTTTTAAACTCAGAAGCCAAACTAAAATTTTGAATAAAGTCAAGGAACCAAATATATATTTTTATTTTTATTAAAGGTAAAGGGCCAAAAAAAAAAAAAACGGGTAATAAGAGGTACAGTCATAATAGAGTTTGCCTTGCCTGAGTTGAAGAGAAGCTAAATTTGCGATTTGCGGAGAGCAACCAACCACAAATTCCTCCCATTCCCAATAAACAAAATCAGATTCTCCCCATTTTGACAGACACGTCCAATCATACATATTCCTAAAATTGCCTTATCAGCTATCCCTATCTGATCCAAAAATATTTTATTCATATAAATAATAAAAGAGAAAACTTTTTACACGTTTCAGAAAATTCCATTTTACTTTTTTTTTTTTTTAAAGATGTCTGTCAATACCTTCCTTTCTCAATAATAATAGTAAAGAGAATGAAAATAAGATAAAGGAGGAATCGGTTTAATGAATATACTACCTCTCATCTTTAATATAATATCTATTTAGCTAATTTTAGTAGACTAATAAAATTAATTAAGTTAATTATTTATAAAAAAGTGAGTTGATTTTCATACTGGGGACAAAAACCCTTTGGAAATTAATAGCGATATTTTAGATAATAAATTATAAATTAAAATTTTATATTTAAAATTACTTTAAAATTTCAACTGGCTTTTATATGGGTAATAATTATTCTAGTTTTCAAATACATCATGGATTGATTCAATATTTTATTTCTACAATATCATGTGTTTTGATAAATTGGTTCTTTCAATATTGATTTTCCGTCGAACTATATATCGTAGTTTAAAAAGATAAAAAGTATTACTACAACTTAAAATCAAAATTTAAAATAAAAATGTATTCCAGGACTAAAAGAGTTGTATTAAAGTTTTATCCTTTTAAATCATTATAAAAACAAAAATAAGTAGTGCGAAGAAGAGTGTGGTATAAAAATTAAAAAGAGAAGCATAAGAAGTTTTTCCCAACCCCAAATCAATCAAGTTAAAAAAAAGAAAAAGAAATCATAATATAAATATTTCACGTGTAAAATAAATATGTGATTCATACAATAGACATACGTAATCAGTATATTAAATATGTAGAAATACCAAATAAAAATTTTGATTGTACTAAAAGTAGGATGAATTACAAGGAATATAATTATCATAAAGTCCTAATACATGTTAGAGGTTGTAATTTCCAATTCTGAAACTTATCATTAAATGCTGCTCAATTGTTATTGAGATATATAATTTATATAATAAATATACATAATCAGTATATTAAATATGTAGAAATACTAAATAAAAATTTGGATTGTATTGAAAGCAGGGAGAATTATAAGAAATATAACTACCATAAAGTCCCAATACGTGTTAAAGGTTGTCATTTATACTCTAAAACTTGTCATTATATACTGCTCAATCGTTATGAAAACTTTTTAGTGATTATACTCCTCCGGTCCTTATTATAAGACCCAATTTGACTTTTTATTTGGTCCTAATTATAAGACCCAATCCATTTTGTCTCTTATATTTATGCATTTTTTTCCAAAATAATCCTTCTAATAATGATAGTTTTAGCCAATATACTTAATTAGCAAGGATATTTTAGGAATGACAACACTTATTTATTATAAATAACCAACTTAACTTACTTCCTTAATCTCCTCAAATAAGTCAATTGGGTCTTATAATTAGGACCGGAGGAGTATTTCTTTTGTGAGATTTTGTTACAATTCTCTCTTGAAAGTGTTACATTATAGATACTTGGATAGTTTGCCCACAGAATCATCAAATTAGATCCGTCCACCTTCGAACACATTGTATTCCAATGGCTTGTATCTCCAACCCAACCTCAATTCATTTTGTTTCGAAATGTACAATTTTGTTCCTCAAATTATCCACCATGGCATAAAACAATGAGGCATCAGCATCAGCATATTGCAAAACAGAGAATTTAATAAGACATTAGTTAGCACCATTAAATAGTTTGAGGTAACCAAGCTATTTGCATTGACCATTGTTGACTGTAAGATTTGGCCCCAATAACAGGGTAGCACAAATAGTTACCGTTGCAAGCCCTGTGTTTCTGGCAAAGACTTACTTCACAATAATTTCAGTTTGATAAATTATTAATTATATTATCAGATTTTAAAAGATTAGTTTAAATTATTATAATTAGATTAATAAAATCAAAAACTATTTTATGATAAATTTTAGAATCTTAGTCGCAAATTATTATTATATTATATAAGCTGGGGCAAATATCGGAAAATAATTTAATCTTTTGCTACAAAGTTTCACTCCACACATCATCATGCTTTTTTTAAATTTTGAATCCAAAAAAAAAATCATTTTAAATAAAGATATTTTAACAACATGTCATATTAATTATATTTGATAAATTTTTTAAATATAATTAAATTAGTTAAATAAGTCTTAAATAAGACAAGAGGAGTATATGGTATATGTACTATTATTGAATAAACATCTCATTGGATCAATTGTATTACTTATTTTGCTAACAATTTTTCTATTATACTATCCATCTCAATATAATTTTTAATTAAATTGTGACAACTTTTGCTTAAAATATACAGGATTAACATCATTTTTAATCCCTAAAATTTGATTTATGTTAGTTTTGGTTCTTGAAATTTGATCTCATTTGCGTTTTTGCTGCCTCTCTGCTTGAATATTTTTGGTTCCTAAGATAAAAAAGAGGTCAAATCTTTTCACTCTTTCTTTTTTTTTTTTTTTAATAGCAAGGCAAGAAGATACAATCTAAAAATCAGAAAACATGGAGACAAAGCATCCCTGTTAAAGCTCTCACAATGTTGACACAAACTGGTCCAAACACGTTGGAGGAGGATATTGGAAATAAATTCCATCCATGCTAGCGTTTGTGAGCGTTTCTGGAAAGAATATAGGCACATTTGAGTGCTTCTCTGTAGAAATGAAAATAATCTCATGGTCCCAACAGGAATAAACAAGTGACCTTTATCAGTGACCCCGATCGGTCAAAGCAAGTTCACAGCAGCCAGGGGAAGTGTTTCTGCTCCTCCAACAAGGTCCAAAATCAAAATGAGCTGAAATCTCAAGTAGAATGAAAGAGAATCTTTATTCAAAACTCATAAATTCAGAAGAACCTTAGCTACTCATGCATGAATGAATTGTCACATTAGATCATGTACCCCGAGAAGCAAATAATTACACAAACGTCCCTCCCATGAAATGTCGGGATCTGGGTTTTCTGATCTGATCAAAGATCTTGTTTATACTCTGCACAGCTTACTCGTGGCCTTTTCCACCCAAAAAACAAGAGGGGGGAAAAAAAAGGAAAACCCCAAAGGAGCCTCCATAGCCTATTTAAATAGACTATTTTAAATAGATTAAAAAAATAGTTAAATTAGTTATTTGTAATAATAGGTGTTATATTTCCTAACATACCATTACTAATATTATTTATTAGCTAGAATTATTATTTGATGAAAACTTTAACATACGTAACCACTACAAAGACTATTTCAAAAAAATGAATAAATATGAAAGATAAGTGGATTGAAATCTTATATTTAAAACTAAATGCAATATCAAACTAGTTCTTATATTAAATATTGGAAGTAATAGTTAGTTTGCAACATATCAACTTATTGACAATTTGTTCCAGATAAAATTTCACGAAAATTGATTTGCAAATATTAATTCATACTATTACAAATGGGAGTTTCAGATACAAATCTTTCATCAAAGTTTTTATAAAACTTCCGTCCTCATTTCATAAACCTTCTCCAACATCTTCCTCTACATTGAAACTTATGCTCTGCTTGGATAAGAAGAAAAGTTGAGAGAAAAGAAAATATGAGAGAAAATAGAGAGAAGGAAAAACTGAAGAGAAGTTGTGATCATCCCTTTTGCTTGGATGGATGAGGGAAAATAGAGAAGAAAGAAAATTAGCATATATCTAAATGACTAAAATGTCCTTATCAAAATATATCATATTTATAATTAAATTAAATTAAATATTACAATAGAAAAATTATACTAACATCAGCATCATCAAATAATTAAAATCAAGTTATTTGGCTTGTATATATTTTCATATTATTATATTTTAAAACCAAATTATTTAATAAAAATATTGTTTTAAGATTAAAAAAAAGTGAATAACTTTTTAAATATAATTAAAAAAAATAAATATGGAGAGGAAGAGAAAGGGGGGTTAATCATAGAGGTCTTGTTTTCCTTCCCAAATCTCTCCATATATGGAGAGAAAATTTGGAGAGAAAATGAAACATGAAGCACACTTTCTTTTCTCCTCTATTTTTCCTTCCCCCTACATTTTCTCTCCTATCCAAACAAGAGAAAACTTATTTCTCCTCATGTTTTTTTCTCTAGTTTTCTGTCCTCCCTAATTTTCTCTCAATCCAAGCAAAGGGTTACTCTCACTCTCTCTCTCTCAAAATTCAGTCAAAAGGAGCTGCACGCGAAAACCCTTGTTCCGTAGGTAATACATTCAATTGAATATGTTAAATATCATGCAAAATTGTACATTAACGTTCACAAACATCTTTGTATTGAATATGTTAAATATCATGCAAAATTGTACATTAACGTTCACAAACATCTTTGTAAGGAAAAGAAAACTACCAGCCCTACCACATGGGCACATGGCACAGTAAAAGTGTGCATGTCACCCAATATATATATATATATATATATATAAAACTAAGCAAAAGTTTCCTATAGGATAACAATTAACCAAGACAACATGTGATTCATCTCTCCCACAAAAATTCAAATAGACTGGGGTTGACAATAATATTATTCACACTCTCAACCGACCTAAACGAAGATGTCATGGCATTTCTTCAGTACTTAGTGTCTGGATTATCCCGTAGACCTAGCTTGGAAATCACAAAACAGTACGAATCCCAGTCAGTTCTTCTGAGGTATTTCAGTAGCCTTTTCCTCTTCTGAACCATTGCTATCAAGCCTTTACGAGAATGCTTATCCTAAAATGTCACGTAAGAAACCGTATCAGGAATTGAGCTCAAATGCCATAACGTAAAATCAGTAGTTAGAATGAGCAGAATATATAACTCTCTTGATGTCCTAACAAAACAAAGGACACTAGATTCTAATCAAACGGAAGATCCCGATATAGAGCAAGATATTTGCAGGCTCAAATCCTCAAGCATTATGGGATAACCTTAATTGTCAGTTTTATTCATTTTTTTGAGTTAATACAAATTTTGGTCTCTCAAGTTTGTTTTCATTTTGGTTTTGATCCTTCAAATTTCAAACCATAAGTTTTAGTCCCTCAAGTTTCTTTTCATTTATAACATTGGTCTCTATAATCCAATAAAAACTTAGACCATTTTACCCTTTGAGAGACCAAAACCAAAATGAAAGCAGACTTGAAGAACCAAAGTTTATATTAACCCTTATTTTTTTTAATTGTCTCTTTTCTTGTTCTACATCAAAATCTTTTCATCCCCATAAAGAAATTCAAACGGAGGACATTAGATATTGAAGAAAGCGGCTCACCTTCTTGTGTAGAACTGAAGATAGATGCTTAATCTTAGTTGTGAGTTGTGCAACTGCGAAGGAAACAGGGGAGAAGTATTAATTTTACTAAAATGAATGCATACCAATTATCATATGCACGGACCAAACCACAGGACTGGAAAATAACACTTACACTTTAACCAGGACCTATTTAACCTACTCAACCAGAGAAGTAATTAACCAAGGATATACCCTTTACCTTGCACACGAAATGATCCACAATCTGACTCAGACATTTTAAACTCATCCCTAATTCTCGCAAGCTCGAGTTTCAACTTTTCTGCTGAAGACATGTTGTCTGGATGGAAATACTGCATTAAACATAAAGCATCCTCACTAGGGAATCAAATCATCAGAGCTGTTTATGGTCCTAGATTCTAAATCACCGACGTGTGAACTGAATAAACAGAAAACAACTAACAACAACATTCCAAAATATTGAAGAACCTGAAATTTACCGGAAAAAAAGGACATCTGATCTCGCCATAAGTCTATAATAGTACCCCATCTACAGACCAACAGTAATTCAGCAATTGTGTTCACATACACGAGTGACAAGTTGTGTTCACTTTAGATGTTCCAAACTTAGTGTAAAACAATTAAAAAATACCCACCTTTTCGACAAGATGCTCCTTAGGAGGCTGCAGCATGAAGCTTGGAGTCCGGCCCATCTCACGCAAGATATCAAGTCTCACTGGACAATTCATATCATTAGTTCACTTTGGAATGATTGTCACGTATTAAATGAACATGGACTTATTATGCACTCATCCTGTTAACGATTAGATAAAATTTGATGAAGTATGCTTCATTAAGTTTAGGCTATATGAATAAGCTTAGAACCCCTCTGCGTCACAATATGAGCAAGAGGCGACTGACATTATTAACAACTACAATAAACTTCTACTCACGCGCACTTTTCTTTTCCTGTTTGCCAGACGCATTCACCTTAATGAAGACCTCTTTCAAATCCTTGACGCTAAGGCCTGGAATGCGTGACTGCTCATTCTCCTTCTCATCCATTTCCCTCAATTTCACCAACCTATCATTCAACTCCCTCAGAGAAAACCAGACCGCTCCTTTTGCCGGCGGCCTCAACTTTCTCAATTTCTCTCCCAACTCCTCATGCTCATAACTCTTCACAAACTCCATTTTCATTTCATCGGATATCTCTCCCCTCTCTTTCTCCCTCAACTCCTTGCCAAAAATGGACACCGGTAATGCCGTCCCCCCTATCACCGTCGACGATGTCCGAGAGCCTATGGAGTATGAAGGCTCCTTTCTTAAACTCTCGGAAAATGCCGACAACGACGATAGTTCCCCGCCTTTCCTGTCATTTCGAGAGGGCTCAACATTCTGCTTTACATTCCGCACGCTTACACGAATCGCATCGAAAGAGAGTCTTCCTCCAATTTTACCAGGCCTTAAACCAGCAATTGGCGTCGACTCATCCGGTTTCCCAGCCATACTTCTCCTATAGATCTCCTGCAATGAGATTTGATCAGATGAAGGTGAAGACGGAGGTGTTGAATCTGGTTCCGAGACACGACGCCGAAACTGGGTTAGGTTCTTACGGATTTCATCAAGAGAGGCAGCTTTGGATGGCGTCGGAGCAGCAGAACCGGAAGCAGTAAAAGATGAATTTGAGGGACTGCTTGAGGTGAAACAGGAGGGAGTGGATTGACCCTGTTTGAGAACCTTCTTGACATCGCTGAAATAGGAAGAGAAAGGAGAACCACGGTTTGTAGGAGTGGCATCGTCGCAGGAGGTGGCGGTAGAATCGGGTTCATCATCGCTGGAATTGGAGGTAGAGAAGAAATGGAAGAGAGAAGGATTTGTGAAGGTATTCTTTTTGGTTCTGGTTCTGAGTTGGAGAATGAGAGCCATAGCTGACGATTGGGATTTAAGAGGGTTAGGGTTTAGGAGGAGTTCAGTCTGAGAGGCTACTGTGAGTCCGTGACTGTAACCAGTTGCATTACGAAGGTCGCCGGAACAAGTCCCAAACTGAAGGCGAAGCCAAAACCTCTTTGATTCCACTTCCTGTAAATCACTTTTCCAACATGCTTTAGGCTTTGTTTGGTTCGGCAGAAGGGAGGAAGGTTAATTAAAAACAAGGGAGAGGAGGGAAAGGGAGGTCATAGGTTTTGTTTGGTTAGAAGGGAGAGGAAGGGAGGGGAGATTTTTTATTTGGTTTACCAAAAAACAGGAGAAGAGGTAATTATTGACAAGTATGTCCTTATCTCTATACTTAAACTATTTTATTCTTTTATTACAATATTCATATCAAAATTATTATTTCTTAATCTATTAATTTCAAAAAAAACCAATTACCTTAATTACATGTGATAAAAAATTATGATAAAATAAAAAAATTAGAAAATATGATAAAAAGTTTAACATTCTATCTCATTAATTTTATAATTGTAATACACACACATGTGTATTAATATATATGATATGTATATATTATATAATTATAATACACACACGTTATGATATATATATATATATATATTAATACATATGCATGTGTGCAACCTATCTGAGATTAATATATGTATGTTTATACCATTTGAGATTATAATACACACATGATATATAATTATAATACACACATATTATGATATGTATATATTAATATATATGATATGTATATATTATATAATTATAATACACCATCCTCTATTAATGTATACTTATCATATTATATTATGAAAAAATTATTGTCATGATAAAAATATTATATTATCAAATATCATTAGTGGCTGAAAGGAGAGAAGTGAGAAAAAGATTTCTAATAAGAGGGTAAACTTGGAATATAGAAAAGTTAGTATGGATAGTTTAATCAGTATTAAACATAATATTTCTCTCTCCTCTAAAAAATCCCAAATTTGAGGGGAGAAAAAAAAAAAGGGAGGGGAGTACTAAAAGACAAATTTCTTCCCTCCCCTCCCCTCTATTTTTCCCAACCAAACACACTAATCTCATCTCCTCCCTTCCCCTCAACAACCCTCCAACCAAACAAAGGCTTACGGAATAAGAAAAGCTTTCAATTTTATTAATTTTTATTTAAAATTTAATAATTTTATTTTTATTTAATATATAACGTATCTCATCTAAACAAAGTCAACACAATAATAAATAAAAATTAAAATTGTACATCCATACAATCTCTCAGTGCCCTATAAAGATGATAAAAAATATCTTTTCTCTCTGTTTTATAAATAGGATTAGTAAAGGAGTACTCCTCTAATTCTATTTATAGGGCAAAGAGAAAAAATATTTTTTAAATTGTATTTATAAGACATTGAGAGAAATTTTTTGTATGAATGTAGAATTTCACCTTTCATTTATTATTGTGTTGACTTTGTTTATATAAAATATAATATATTAACTAATTTCTCTTAATGTCTTATGTTAGGTTGCAAATAAACAAGTTACAAATCACTTGATAGAAATGATAACTTGCATTATGCAAGTTGTCATTTTCATTACTTGTTTTGTAAAATAATATGTAAGTGACTTAAAACAGGTTGCAAAAATCATTATGTAATTAGTATCTTTCATTACACAAGTTGTCATTCACATAACATATTTAATAAAATTGTTTTCAAATGGATTAAAGTTGGGTTACAAATAAACAGGCTGCAAATCTCTAATAGAAATGGTAACTTGTCTTACGCAAGTTGTCATTTCTGTCATTTGTTTTATAAAATAATGTGAGTGACTTCAAACAGGTTATAAAAATCATTATACAACTGATAATTTTTATTACACAAGTTGCATGAATTTGTCAAAATTTACAAATCTCAATTTAATACATATAGAGTTACTTGTTCTTTATGAAATTAGAATGACTTGCTTGAAATTTTACAATTCAATAAGTATTTATATGAGATTTTCCCTATTTTATTTTGGGAGAAGCATAAATGAATTTTATTAAACATGTAATGTGAACAACAATTTGTATAATGAAACATGTAATAGGAATGATAACTTGTGTAATGAAAATTGCTAAATGCATAGCGATTTTTGCAACTTATTTTAAGTCTAGCCCTTGGGAGAATTAAAAAGGGTCAAAATGTATTGACAAATTAGTATACAAGTACACTAGAAAAATATCATAATAAACATAGTATCAATAACTTTTATAATTTACTACATGTGCAATGGAATTAATCACTAAAGTGACAATATTTATGAAAAACCAACAAACCTATGACAGAAGTTACATTAAATATATTCAAATAACAAGTTAATATTAAGATTAAACCAGTACCTATAATATTTTCTTGCCATTCAGACCACAAAAGTCAATCCATTGCATACTACATTGGCGACATTTACAATAGATTTGACAACTTCACTAATAGCATTTATCAAAAACCAGAATATTCTATAATAGTAACTACATTTAGTGCTATCATGACTAAGGAAAAAAAAAAATTTAGTCGTGTCTTCTCTCTCTCTCTAAAGAAGATGACTTATAGTTGTTACTTTGGTTCCCATGGTTTCTTTTGATTCATAAATATAAGCAACAAAGCTCTATAATGGCTGCTACTTGAAGAAGAAAAGGACCCCTTGTAGAATGGTGTGCTCTCAAAATCAAAGGTGATTTCTTTTCTCTGCCCTAAAAGAGTTCAACTATGTCTCCAATGTCCAACAAAACCCATTGAAAGAATGATGTAGCCATGACATAAAGTAATGTCTTCTTCATTTTCTTGTGAAATCGTTTGAATCCAAATAGTAATTATCTCAGAAAACTTAGAGATCATTCAACTCACAAAAACTGTGGGTCTATATAATTATTGAAGTGAAAAGCCCATTATTGAAAGGGATGCCAAACAGATTGTGTGGGAAATTCTATGGTTAATTTCAAGAATGAAAACAGTGGGAAATTCTGTGGTTAATTTCAAGAATGAAAACAGTGCAACTATGTCCCCTACCTTGAAGAAGACGATGAAGAGAGAGAAGATAAGGAAATGTGAAAAAAGGTATGGAGGTAATTTGTCAAAATTTGTAAATTCCAATTTAATACTTGTAAGCTTATTTGTATTTTGTGAATTTAGAGTGACTTATTTAGGGTTTTAAAATTCAATAGGTATTTACATAGGATTTTCCCTATTTTTAGTCTTTAATTAATTTTAATTAATATTTTAAATTGTATGGATTAATTATTTGATGCTTATAGTTTATAGAGTTTTTGAAAAATTTTTAAAAAATACTTTTAAAAAGTATTTTCACACAAATTGAAACAAAATTTCTTTCACATTTATATAAAAATTGTAACAATAGAAAGATGACGAATATTAAACAAAAGGGAGTACCTTATAAATTAATGTTTTTGCCAAAAAAACTGCTTTTCGAATTTTTTGTGATATATTTCTTCTAATCAACACAACTTTACCGATGGTAAAATTTATCACGAATAGCTTGTTATATAAAAACTATAACAACAGAAAAGTAGGCCAAAAAATTGATATAAATAGGAAAAACGCAGCGGCTGCTGCAAAATGAGAAATTTTGATCCGTTGGAACGCGTGGTGGCGATGTTTAGCATTGTTGTTGTTTATGGACCTGTGTTCAGGTATTGCGGCTGTGCTAGTGAAATCAATTGAAGTGTCATAACTTGAAGTTGGGACAACTTCAGAACTTCGTTTGTTTGCGAAGTTTGAAGAGAGGATTAGGGGTCACGTTGCATGGGGATATAAAGAAGCACGAAGCGTTGAGGAATGAGGATTAGAGGACAAGTTAAGAACTTCGATATGGTTGGATGAGCAACATGTTTATATGCATGTATTTAATTATATAAAATGGGGAAAAAGTAGAAAAGAAATCTTTTTTTTCTCACTAGATATAAGTATTCTTCTATCAGATATAATTCTATTTGAAACACTGTCAAATACTAACTATAAATAGCTTTCCTAATGAAACATTGGTTATTAACTGGGAATGCCTTAGACCAATTTGAGTGCCCAGCCCATACTAAGATGTGCCAGTCTCTGGCATTTCAAAGGATTGGTCAGGCCCAAAAGCTTAGTATGCAATTTTATAGGCCAGGCCTGGTTATTCCTGGCCCAAGGACTCTAGCATCTATTCCCATCTCGACAGAATCAGACCGAGACTTTTGACCTTTTTGGTTTTTGGGTATCGGAAGATATGAGAAATCTGAATCGATAAGAAATCACCAGCCACCACTAAATTAGCACAAGAAGTTTCCAATAATAGATGCAAATTCAACTCATGCCTTCCTACCAAATCACAGGAAGGCATGAGCTGAACAAAACTCAAACCAAAAAGTAGAGAAATAACCTAATCACTCAAATAAAACATTGGGAGCCCTTGAGAACATACCATTATTCTGTAAACATCAAATTAGCTTAGATTCTCCAGTCATTTTATCCAGTGTATACACATTGCCAAGGGAAAAACTGACTCTTAGTCACACCATATTAACACAAGTTCATAATTAAACTAAGAGTTAATATAATCTTTAATCTCTCAAATTTGCCTTTATTTTGGTTTTAGTTCCTCAAGTTTCAAATTACAGGTTTTAGTCCCTCAAAGGACAAAATAATTTAAATTTTTATCGAAGTATAAGGAGTAATATTTAAAATGAAAAGAAACTTGAGGGATTAAAACTTCTCATTTGAAATTTGAAAAACCAAAAGCCAAAATGAGAGTAAATTTAAAAAACCAAAAATTGTATTAGCCTTTTAAATTAACTAGGGTTGAACTATGTCCTAATTATATGCATTAACAACCCGTCTTAACCATAATTATGATAAGCATTGATTAAAACATAGTGAGTTCTAATTAAAGTTAATCTGCAACTGTGGTCTAGATTTCAATGGTTTTGACCCCCATTAGGCTTAATCTACTGTTAACATATTTTATGTGCGCGCGCGCGCATGTGTGTAGAGAGAGAGAGAGAGAGAGAGAGAGAGCTTTTACCAAAATCAACAACAGTGTTTATAAGAATGAGAATCACAACACATTCCATTCAGCAATGCTTACCAAAACAAGCAGCAGCAACCAACCAAAATGCTTGAATTATCATTATCTGAGGAACATGTAATTACATTTAACAGTGATCATTTCTATGAAGACGATAGAGAAGAAGGATCGAGGGTTGCCCCAAAAGAATTTTGGACAACGTCGAAGGAACTTGTGAAGGAATGAATGGCGACTACGTCCGACACGACGTGTCAGAATCTCTCCACTACCCTCGCTACTTTCATGACCTCAAAATACTATTCCCACATCATGATTGAAGACAACGTGAGGAAAGTTGATCTATTCGGGGCCTACAGCTACCTTACCAAAACCCAAATGGTTAGGACTCACAACAGTCCTGCTACATCTCATTCAGCACAGTAAGTACTAGGGGCAGAGTAATCCTGGTCCAACTTGTGAACAAATATCATTCACAAAGGACAACCTAAGCTTTCTTTGTCTTTTTCAGTTTCTTTCATGTCAAAGCATTGGAGCTTAAATCCTCCTCGACAGGCAGATTTAGATCAGGCAGTAAGAACGAAGCTTCTTGCTTACTAGTCTCTTGCGCTTTCATAGAATTGGTTGGACAGATAAGTGGTGCATCATTAAGAACTTTGCTCGCGATGTTCCTGGATGAGATTGCATTATATGAACGAGACTGTTCCTCTTCAGTGGCCACAGAGGCTGCATCTGTTTTAAAGGCCTTTCCGGACTCTAAATCAAGCTGTTACAAAAGATTCATTAAGAAATAAATTAGATTATGAGGCATCATGCTGTTCTTCCCTAAATATTGAAATGCCCATGAAACAGTTTTGGCTCTTTTTACAGATGAAGTATTTCGATTTAGTAGCCCCCTAACGAAGCATTCTCATATACAAGGTACGAAACTGATATTGTGATTTGTGAAAGAGCAAATTGCAAAATACTTTGTGAGGGACAAAACCGATAGATACCTAGGATGTTATTTTAGTTCTAAAAAATATCACATATACCACTATGTATGTCAGACATGTCAACCAAGGAAAGGACAGAACACAAGGGAAAGAAATTTATTATGCAGACACGATGAAGCTGATACCCAGAAGGCTAAACAAAATTAGTAATTAGCTGGAATAGTGGTGACAGCTCGCAATTATTACACATATATATATATAAGCTGATTGGTCGAACTCAAAACAGAGAAGTGCATTACTAGCAGAAGAAAGTAACCCTATTTCAGTGATCAATTGCATCATTGCCACACTTATCATAATTATGGGGACAGAAGATATCAAGGATGCCAAAAACAAAAAAGGTGGATAACTGGTCACCTTCATTCTCTTTAAGCTTTTATTTGCGGCCCTATGTTTCTCAACAGTGAGACGCAGAGATGCCAGTTCCTGTTCAAGAATCATGACAATAATAAGAAAAGTACTTCTTCTTGTTTTTTTCCCCCCTTTTCAACCGAAACCAAAATCATTTGAAGCCCACAATGAAACGTACACTTTTCAAATTTTTCCTTTCCTTTAACAGCAAAGTTTCTTCCTCCTTTAGTTCAACTAAAGTCTGCAAAACAGCATCATCAAAATGTGTTAAACAGGCACACTCTTCTAGAGATTTATACATAAATGTGCAGGTAAAAATCAAACTTCTCTTTCACCCATAAAATAACATGATGAAGTTAGCTCTATTCTGAAGTTTGATGACAGCAAAGTGACGAAAAACAAGGTGATTTGGCCATATAGGTGCACGTATAAGCATCTCCTGCACTTCCGCTCTATTTGATGATGCTGACACATGCGGTAGCCCATTATTTATAGGGAGAATTATAATCAAGTCCCACAGAAGAGAAACAATTACTAAAAAATCCTAATAATAACCTGAGCAGCCTGTAATGACAAGTCCTACAGTGGAAAATAATAACTTCTAGGACTTGTTTTGTAAATTTTTTTTCTTCCATAGGACTTGATTGTAATTCTCCCTATTTAAATTTATACTATCATTTCATTAGGATAAACATTCCTTATTCTCCAACCAAGTATTTGGACCATGTGGATCCAATGCTGGGTTTTAGTGAAAAAGTAGGTAAAATACCTTTTTTCTTCTTGACCTTTTTGTACTGGTTGTTTCATTTGGATTCATAACCTGCCAGACAGTAAATACGGGAGCGTCAAAATCATATCATATGAAGATAAAATAGCTGCTCAAAATATAGACTCGAGGAATTTGATGATATGATTGCATGAGTTTGGGTACAAGGACAACGGCATGCAATAAAGAACGAATAGGTCGGGGCTCAACCATACAGCAGTTTCACGAGTACGTGATGGAAAAGATAATCTTTGAAATTAAATAATAAATCATATCAAGAGCAATGATTTGAGTTTTGACGAATACCATTCGAAACGACTAACCAACAGAGACAGAAAGCACACAAGAGTGTGATAAAAGAAAAAAACAAGAGACAGATATCCTCTCCTTTTTTTCTAAGCAAAGGGAAAAAAAACTTGAATTTTATCCTTCCTTTGCCACGCAAAGGAAAATCTACAAACATGCCGAAAATACGCTTCTATGCAGACTCATATTCATAATCAACTTACACCAAGAATTTAGTCAGTATGGCAAGCCAAAGTCATCGATGATACCATAATAGATCATTTCCTCGATAAGAAACCTGCTGTGAACTGATTATAAATTCCCGGTGGCAGCAGCAGGAGAAAGAGGGAAGAAGCCTATATGACTTAGCAAAGGTATAATCTTAATAAATTACCACTTAAAGGCCAAAAATCTGCCGGACTTGTACACTGACCCACCAAAATACAGATACATATTAAAAAGAAAAATACATATTTACTTAACTAGTATTTAAGTACGCATCTCCTATAGAGGTTTGTAATTAATGTGCCATATTCTTTCTTTCTTTTTATTAATGACATTATAAGTCAACCGTGTTTTTTGTCCTATCCTAACACAGCAATTGCTTGGTCGTGGCTGCGATTAAAAACTAAAAATTGCAGTCCAAAAGATTCACGACCTTCTCCAATCGTACACATTCGTAGTGAATGATAATATTCATTTGATAGAATGGGGGAGTATGGTGGATTCGAAAGAAAAACACTTTCGAGTCAAAGACCCCTCTCACGTCTTAACAACATGCCTGTCAAGAGAAGCATGATCCATGCGAAAGAAGGGCACCTTTGAATTTAAGGAAGACCCCTCTATAGGCAGCACAGAAAACAAAAAAGTGATTATTTTTTTTGGTAAGCGACGAGACAGATTGAGTTGCTTTATGCCATTAAATTGGTGACGAAGTGGTCCCCATACGGTGAACTCGTAAAATGGCTCCTACTCTTCCTCCTGGCATTTAACGGAGAGAAGCATCTTTCCATCCATTCGCATCTTCATTTCCTTTTCTCGGAGGTATAATCAACTCATCTTAAACTCCAATCTAAGAAGGGAAATACAGGAGGAGAGCCTCGTCATCGTTTCAATCCCCGCCATTGCAACTGATGCGTACTCAGATTCTTACTTTTTGGACCCTACCAAGCATAAAAAGGCCACGAGTACAGCAGCCTGTCATTCTAATGAATAGACTCAAATAAAAATTCCCCCTACTTTTGACTTTGCTGATCACCTATGCTGCCATCTTTCCCGCGACTAAAAAGGTCCGCCATCATGCTGTCAAGCAGCAGATGCCGTACAATACATTAATATTAATAACATAATAAATAGATACATAAATTATTAGTTAATTACATAAAAATCATATATTTATATTTATTTTTACCTCACGCATGACGCGTGAAACGACGAGGAGCAGAGAGTGAATAAATGAGGCAAGAAAGGAACTCCTGTGGGAGAAGAATCATTTCTCCAACACAGCAAACACTCAGGAAGTGCACAACCACTACCAACGCTACGCCAAACTGCACGCAGACAACATTGCCAAGAAAACACGCTACCAAAACGGCAGGGGACCCGAGGTGATATTACCGAACTACCCCTCCCGGTAAATCGCTCGTACAAATATTATTTACATCATCCAATCGAGGTGCTGAATGCAGGCGCGACAAAGCAGTTAAGGAGCACGAAGACGTTTGGTTCCAGACTTACCAGTACTTCCATCCTTGTCCACAGACCCCTCCATGATCCGCTGGAAACAGTTCTGAAAAGACATACGACCTTCTGTCATAGGGCTGTTTCAGTAATTTCAACACTCTGCGTGGCTCAGCGGAAAAGAGCAAGAAGGAAACGGGATAGCCCGAGACAGGGAAACATACTCAAGCCTCTGACTCCATGACTTGAATGAAGGTCACTCGCTTTCTTTGGGGGCTTGAAATGGAATTTAATGATAATAAAGTGTAACCATCTCGGATTTTTCCGATATTAACTTTTTATTAACACGAGTCAAAATCTAAAAGAAGTTTCAAGGAAGACACCGTGGAAGGGTGTATGGTCCACATCAAAATCCATATTCTCTCATGATAGAGTAAACAGAAAAATCAGGGTCGAACTTTTTCGGAGGGCATCTTGGTCAACAAGATCAGGCACTGGGAAATGCTCCGGTTATCGGATAAGCTCCGACCGGGGAGAGGGTCGCGCAACGGTGAATCTGCTGCCACGAGGCGAATATCGGTTGGTCCGAAACTGATATGACAGGAAAAGAAAACAAGGCAGGGGCCACTACATAAATTATTTCCCACCTGACTTACACGGATTCGTCAAGGTAAATATCCATGTTCCACAAGGTCATTTTCGTCAGCTTAAGTACTAACCGCCACGCTACGTAGATAGAGAAGTTTCGGCGCCGCGTGATTCGACGTGCGCAACTGAACCACAAGACAGGCAAACCGAACGCATCCGGTGACCGGAGATCTGTCACCGGAAGCAAATAAACCAAACAGAACAGAAAAATTAAACCGAAATACAAAAAAAAGCAGCGAACCTTCTTAGATCTTGAGCTCTCCACCAGTTTGATCGCACGGCTGGACTCTTCGCATCCATCAACGGCGTCGCCGCCGCCGCCGCCACAGCTAGCAGAAGTGGCACAGCTCCAGGAGAGCGGCGTGGTAGGACTAGCTGTCGTCTGTTCTTCTTTCCCTTCAGAGCCACGGTGTCTCGGAACCGACCTAGAGCGACGCTGGCGCACAGTCCAGTCGACGTGAAGACAGGGAGGCTGCTTTCTGGTCGGAGGAGGCTGCGGCGGAGTAGCGTGATGGAGACGGAGGAGAAGCTCGACGACGACGGAGTCGTCGGACATGGCCACGTCGATCCAGTCTTCGTCGCACATGTCGCTGAGACTGAAGAAAGAAGAGAGAAGGATGGCAGCGAAGAAGAAGAAGGCGAAAATGTTGTATGGGGGTGTGTGTCGTTGGGAATGTTAAGTAAATAATAAATAATGAGTCGGGATGGCGTGGGGGCGCTGTGCGTGTTTGTGTGTGACTGTTGTGTGTGTATCTAAGAGAGAGAAAGAAAGGGAGTATGCTCCATGTTGCTGACAAACCCTTGTTCTTGTGGATCATTCTTCTCTTGCCTGGGCCCCACTTTTACTTCTTCGCGGCTTTTTCTCAAAGCGTTCGGTGTATAATCGTCGCAAGCGATTTCAAGCGTTCATTTTATCTAACGAATTTGAGCCTTTCCTTCCTGCAACCAATCCGGACCGTCTATGTATATATATTTTTAATTTTTTAATATGTACAAATTAATTATATAACTCTTACTAAAGGTCGTATAATACTTCTCCAGTCATTAATATAAAATTTATTTATTTAATTTGATTAAATTAAAAAAGTTAGGTAAGTTAGTTAATTATAAAAAATATAATGTATTTTTTTAAAATATCATAATCATTTTCCTTAATATCATTCCTTCTTCTTCTACTTGATTATAATTGAGAGAGTATCTATAGGATCATTTAGAAAAAATTGATAAATATGATGAATAAATCTTATATTTAGAATTAAAATCAACTCAACAATTAGGTCCTATATTAAGAACATGAGGAGTATTAGAGAAACAAAAAAAAATTTCTGTTAATTTTTTTATTCCGTAATTACAGACTTAATTTAAGTAATTGGTGCTGTTTTTAAATATCAAGTTCAACCTTTTATTTATAGTCCACCTTATTTTATGACCTCGGTTTTTAAGTCAGTTGGACTTTCTCGGGTAGGCCCCATAGGGCCAATGGGCCTGTGTTTTCTTCTTGAGACTTTCTCATGAAATGGTTAGAGAAACATTTGGCTAATTTTGTGGATTTCAAGTGATTGGGCCTTTATTTTTGTTTTCCGACTGTTCCAATTTTCCCAATATGAGGCTTCGTAGCTCGTAGTTCGTTTCCTCTCTTCAACGTTGGTAAGCGGAAAGAGGGCCCAACCAATTGATCCGTAAGTGTTGCTTTAAATATTGGGCCACCTTGAGCCCACTTGATTTTGGGTCGTTTTACGCTGAACACAGGGTGTTCTCTTACCAAAAGTAATCATATTTTGTATCAAAAAAAGTAACAATGTTTGAGACACTATTAAATATTAAATGTAAGCATATCTCTCAATAGAAATTTGAATATGAGTCTGTTATAAAGACTATTTTGATTTGTTAGACCCAATAATATTTCCTTTTTCTTTTGCCTAAGACCCAATAACATTTCCAAAATTATATGGTTAGGGCCATTTGAGCTTTTCATCTCTTTCTTATGGTCAAGATTTGAGATCCAAATAGCCCAAAATAAAAGTTACAACTCATTAAAGCGCCCGTTGAGATTGAATTTATAATGAATTATATATGAAAAAAATTTGGTCTTATTAAAAATGATACAAACACAGAGCCGAAAAAACGGGCTAAGTCCGTTTAAGTTGAGGGCCGGGCTTGTAATTTAAGATCTTTAAAAAGAACTTGGACTTAAAAGGGCCAGTCTTGTAAGGCTTGAAAATAAAAGGGCCTGCCCTGTAGGGCTGTGGACCAGCTTGTTTAGGCCCGCCAACAATAATTTTTTTAATTTATATTTTTTTTCTTGACCCTAACCTAAGTCCCTAACATTTTACACATTCTCCCTCTTTAAGTTTCACTTTCAGTTTTTCACTTACTCTTAGCTCACGCTTCAATCTCTAATGATATTAAAATAAATAAAAATATATTCTCTATATCCTAAATCAGATTTCAAATTTGTATTTATTTGAACCAACGGTTATACATATTAAAATAAACAAAATATATTCTCAATATTAAAACAAAAATTATAATGATTGAACCAACGGATACCTATCAATTTGTATATATGTTATAAAAGTTTAATAAATAAGTTAACACTTTTTCTATAGTGACTATATCATAATTTTTACTTTATATTTAAATAAAGTTAGACAAGCGAATTAGACAAAACCAAAGAAGACCATCCTGAACAAAAGCAGGACGTTAATTGACTAAATAGAGTTATATTTATCCACTTTTTTTTTTTTAGTGAAAACTTTTGTCTAATTTTAATGGAACTTTTGGATATTGACTTGTTATGTCTAATGGGTTTTTTAGATTTTTTGTATGTTGATGGATATTTAAGTATGATGATCGTTTATATTTATGACTTAATTTTATTCATATTTATGTCTTTTACTAGTAATTTTATTGGTTTATTTTTATTTTTTGATAAAACATATGAAAAATATGAAAAATGAAATTTTTTAATTAAATGAGCCAAAAACCTACAGGCCAGCCCTGACCCCGTCTACTTAAGAGCTGGGCCTAGTAAATTAGGATATTTTTAAAATTTTGGCCATGTAAGGCCAGCCCTTTTAAATCCGTCAGCCCTATAGGGCCAGCCCAGCCCGTTTTCACAGTTCTAAAACATCGCTCGTAGTGCTAAAATATAGTTTTGATCTAGAAGATGGCATTTTGTTGGGCATGAAGCCAATTGATTATACTTTGGTCCTTTAACCTAATTATGAGTTATATAGTCCCATATAATAAATATTAAATCATATAAATTCTTCAAAATAAATTTAAGAATTAAAGTGCACTCAGCATCCTTGAATATTTTTAAAAGTATATTGAGCATCTTAAAATATTCAGTGATGCAATTTTTTTCTTAATATATTAAAAATGAAGCAATGTGACCCTTAAGGGTTTGACTGGCAAAAAAATGCATCATCTATCCCTGATGTCATTCCAGCGAACGTAGTGAAGAAACCAAAATATGGGAAATCCCTAAAATTCACTTGCTTCCTCTTGTTTAAATTCCAGACAAGGCAAAGTACTTGGATTTTAAGAATTTCACCAATGACGAAGTTGGATTATGGGTTAGGTATTATTTGGAGTCGGTTTAATTTGGAAAAATCTGCATGCGGCTGAGTGAATTTCACAGCAGCAGATTCCATTTCTCTGATTGTCAACTTCACGAAGTTCTCAGTCAATCTCAAGGTAAACTCAAGAAACTGAAAGAATTGAGTCAGATTTGCAAAATATTTAGGGTCAAATTAATGTAATAATTAAGGATTTCACACACACAACCCAGATATGATGTACCAAATAGCCATTTAGTATGAGTTTTAATTTCAATTCCATTTCCATCACTCCAATTTCAGCATATATAATGATGAATTGGCGCTTACTGTGTTACCAATTCTTGGCCTGATAAATACTACCATTCATCCTTAATTATTACATTTGAGCCTAAATATAATACCTCGTTCCATTTTGTCTTTTAGATTAATAATTTTTCTCTAAAATATCCTATTGATTGTAAAAGTTTCTATCAAGAGATGGTTTTAAAATACGTGATTAAATATGATGGTTTAAGAAAGTCAAAACACATATTTAATTTGGCACAAATAATCAACTTAAATAATTTTTTTTTGATATCCCTAAATTAGTTATATGGCTCTTCTATTAAAAAGGATAAAGATGCATCCAGCATCCAGAAATATTTTCTTAGGTGTATCTAGCATCTTAAAGTATATTGTGATAAATTTAGCATCCTAAAGTATTTTCTCAGGAAAACAGGAAGAGCTCGTTTAGGCTCAAAAATTATGAGAGTCAAGTTTGAAATTTTTTCTTTCAAATGAGAAACAGACTTAAAAAGACTGTCCTGTAGAACTAAGGGGTTAAATGGGCCGGCTCTAGAGATTTGAGGGCTGGCACGTTTAGGTCCTTTTATACTATTTTTTTTGAAAAAAAAATTGTGTAATTATAGTATTATTAATTTTTTTACATTGTTAATGATATTTCAAATATTTATTAATTATTATCATTTTGAAATTAAATTTCATAGAATAGTTTGATTCATTTGGTTTTAGACAATATTTGTCTAATTAAATTTTTAAAAATGGATTAATTTAGACGTTAGTAATAATTTGATTTATATTTTATATGTTGATATTTGTAAACTATATATATTTGATAAGAGAGTATTTTTATACTTATATAACTTGTGATTCTATAATTTAAATTAGAAGTTTATGAGTTTCAACAACAATGTTTTTCAAATTAAAGTAAAATAATAGTTAAACTGCAAAATTTAAAAGTGAAATTCCTATAAAAAAACCTGATATTAATTTTGCTATGAAAGAAAAACATACTCATAAAGAAGAGCAATTGATATTATAGTGATAATAAACTTTCAAAAAAGTAATGATAGTGTTTATCTATTGCATATTTACACTATTGATGAAACTTTTAGATATTATTGTCTTGTTGATGGATGCTTTAGATATTCTTAAATGTTGATAAATATTTAGATATGATGATTTTTTGTATTTGTGACTTAATTTTATTCATATTTATGTCTTTTATTAATAATTTTATTGATTTGTTTTCATTTTTTGATAAAAAATCAGAAATATGAAAAATAATATTTTTTTTTCTTAAACAGGTTGAAAGCCCGCAAGCCAATCCTGAACCTGTCACCTGATGGGCCAAGTTTAACAAATTGAAATATTTTTAAAATTTTGGTCCTAGAGCTGAGCCGGCATGTATTCTCACCCTGAACCGTTTTTTGTCTTTGGGGACCAGCCCCATCCTGAATCTTAACCCTCCTAAAAACGGGAGGTAGTATATCATTACCATGTGTGTACGTGGAGCTAGCTTTTTCAAATTCAAATCAACGATCGGCAATTTCTTCAGCAATATTGGGGCATATCAAACTAGCATGAGATGTCACCCCGTTGCCTTCAACCTTTCTTCCTCCAAAATTAGGGTTTCCAAACTGTTTTTAATCGTTCTTCTCTTCGTCCCTTCTGATGATTTCTCTCCCAAAGTTTAAGCATATTATCTCCTAATTTCCAGCGTTACTCTTTTTATTAAACACGCACGCACCCACACACATTTGCACCAGCACGCATATGCCTAGCTAATTTGGTGAAAAGAAAAAGAAATATACACATACAAACAATTTGCTAAGCAAAAAGCAAATGTGCCCTAGTATTCCATTTTCGGTTTCGATGTTTAGAACTGTGTCTGTTTTTAGATAAACTTT